AAAAGGCAATTTTGCCCGTTTCAAGCGAACATAAACAACGTTATCAATAGCAGTTTCGCAGTAAAAACACAGCAAGGCCAACGGTGACTTGACAGTGACACACAATTCAATAATTGACGGTAACTTGGCGGCAACCGTTGCCTTCCAAGCCCACAAATACCGAAATTTCGGACAAGGCTGGCGGACTTTGGGTCTCAAATACCCATATTTTGGACAAGGAAATCGTCATTTTGAGACCTCAAATACCCAAATTTTCGGACCACCCTTTGGTGGAGCTTCCCGGGGCCTCTGGGAAGTCATCTGGGATCTAAAGTCTACGGGTTGGAACGGCACACATTGACAAAAGGCGATGTAGTCGTAGCCGTAGCCGGATACTAGGTTGCCGCGTGAGTTTGAGATGGCACCGGAGCCATTGTTGCCTTGCTGGATGCGGCTTTGAAGCGGAAGAGGGTGCCGACAAGCAAGGAGAAAGTTGAGACATGTAAGATTATCGCGTGGGGCCGGCGCCGTCACACGAGGTCGCATCACAAAAAGCGGCAGAGTGATGTAGGATCCTCGCTACATAGAATTCCTTATCGGTACTTGTAAGCGAATCAAAGGCTGTAAGTGTAAGCCATCTGGGCGACTAAATACATAACAGCACATCAAAACTGGGCGATATCCGATCGGAGGCAAACGACATCTATTAAATTTGGGGGTAAGGATAGCGATGGAAGGAGGGAATGAGCGGGTAGGAAACGAAATGAGCGGGTAGGAGACGAGTGAAGGAAACAACAAGTAAACTGAGCAATGATCTGAAAAGGGTGAGAAAACTGAAAACACAGATATCGGCAACCCACGTCCACTTCTTCAAGTGTTGGTGGTATCGGTAAGCCACGCGTTGACCAGCGCGATGCCTGCGCTGAGCCACTGCTTCATCTTCGCTTTCATCTCCATCTTCTTTCGACTCATCCAACAAATCATCTCCTTGATCGCCAAAAACCCGCCTGAAAACTGTGAGAACCATAAGGTTATAAGGCAGCACTTACTCTGTCAACCAATCGAAGCGTCTCTTTACCCCAATCCGGGTGATCGGGGTCAGAGTCATCAGCAAAGGCGTCCAAGACTTTGTGGTAGAGAACGGAAAATTTGTACTTGCTAGATTCCTGGCCGGTCCATTGAGGAACGCTACTAATGGCTAGTCGAATCTGAACTGTTTCAGTTTGGACTTGCGAGTATACAGAGGCGTTACCTGTACCACCACCTAACCCACGATATGAGAGGTGACGCGGCGCGTGTTATGGATGGCGGCTAGACAACCTAGCGAGATTTCGTCATTGGCGGCGTGGCTTGCAGTCGAACGGGAGACGAGTAAGAGCCGGATGCCCTGCACATACATTGTAAGGACCTGTGGAGAAAAAAAGAAGCTAGGAACATACCCGCCAAATCGCAACCCCAGTAAAGAGGTTTTCTTGGTAGCTCTGTGGGTTCCATTTGCCGTCCGGCTAGCAAAAGGAGGGAAAATATTTTGAAGATGGGGTGTACTTGCTTTCGATAATCTTGTTGTAGATGCTAAATGAATGATCAAGACGGCAAGGTCAGTGGGCTAACGCTAACGCACGTTTGAGCTTCTGGGCTAAGCCAGTTTCGTAAGTAGAAATAGGTGTGCAGTGGAATAACTATACAAGAGAGGAGGCGCTGGACTTGTAAGGTGAGCGTCAGATTAATGGCCCATCAGATGATTTACTTTGTAGACGGTCCATAAACCAGAGGCGGGAAGAAAATCCGGTCTTTCCATGGCATGATGAGCATGCAGAGTTGAGGATGTGCCAGACCCCGCTTGGCTTTGGTGATTCCTGGTTCAATGGGTGGAAAGAAGCAGTCGGAGCGGGAGTAGTATGTGTAGGTTATCCTGTCACTCCCAGCGAATAGAGAACCTCAGCATCAATCGTGTCCTCATCAAGGTCAATGAGGGTCCATCTCTTCACGGATTTGTTGGCCATCGCAGCCTCTTGAGAATAACGATGCAACATCAGATCCAACGTAGCCGCGAGTGTCAGCAGCTACATCGTCCCCAAGCTTCATGGTCTTGGTGTGTGTGCGGAGAATGTTCAGCGAGTTGCCGGACTCCTCGTCTTCACGTTTGACAGGATCACCCTCTGATACCAAGAGTTAGCTTGCTAGAATAAGAGAGAAAGCAAGTCGACTCACCCGTATGAATAACGGTGTCTTGAGCCACAATGCAAAACTCAGCTGGGTCCGTCTCGATAACCTCGACCTCGACTGTGCACATTCCTCCACGGACAAGGGCGAAGATAGGAGCTTGGCATCGAGGTCCGCATATAAGGACGTTCAGGTCTATAGGCACTGCCAGCTTGAGAAATACTTTCCTCCTCTCTGATTGTTGATAGCCGAATATGAGCAGATTGATTCTCATAGATTTCTGCAGCTTCTCTGGCAGAGTCATCTATTCCCAGAGTTGCTCCAGTGATAGGATCAAAACATGCTGCAATTTCGGCTAAGAAGTGTTCAACTTCAGCTGCATAAGCAACAATTAAAACTTCCATAACTTTAGGATCATAGTATACATTGGACTTTAGACCAACTATTAATGATGGAAGTTCTGGAAGTTTCTGCCCTACTACTTTGAAAGCATTGGAAGCACGCTTACGTAAATTATCAAGAATCTGTTGCAAAAATTGATAATTCTCAATAATGAAATTGAAGCCATAGTCCCAAAAATCAGTACGTTGTTGTGCTTCAGCAACACTAACAAATTCCATAAGTGCTTTCAATTCCCTGTCAAATGCTCTAAGTGCCATATACTCAGATAAGCGTTTAGGTCTTGTAAGCATTTCATTGTTATCTGCATCACTTGCTATTTGAAAAATCTCTCGGTGACGAGGTCGAAGCAGTGGATCCAAAGAAAAGTGTGGCAAACATGTTGGGACAGTTATCTCAACTCGTCTGGCAGGGAAAGCCCATTGTATACCACTTACAGGTAATGGACCAATGGTAGGAGACAATGTCATAACATGATGAAAGTTAGGATACTTGGCTAGAAGAGCATCAGTATCTTGTTCTCCAGTGACATTCTTGTGAGCACTAGGTCCAAATGTAGTTTGCAGCACAGGAAGAGGAGTAGAGCCAGGAGCAAGACCAGTAGTCAAGAAGCTAGATTGTACAACAGGAGCAACCATGTAATTCTGATAGTTAGGTTGTCTGGGCTCAGGATTAGATGGTCGTGGGTCATCGGCATCATCATTGACAGATGCCAGTGGATCATCAGCATGTACAGATGCTGGTCGTGATCTTGATGGTCCGCGTGAGATAATTGATAATTGATAGACGTAGCGTAGAGTGTACGATTTGGCGTTATCAATTGATAATGTGTTTAGGGTTCAGTTCAGTTCGTGCGACGGCACCCAAATATCAAACAATACTCCAAGTCAGTTGATTGAGTCTTCTCTTAGAATAAGAGAAGATGAGATAACAAAAACAGTAAAGCTACTGTGAAAAGAAAATAGAAATGGTAATCTTGGTATAACCTCAGATTCAAGGCTTTCTCCGTATAACCTCAGAGTAAGGCCTCTGTTTAACCCCAGAGTCCAGGCTTCTCCCGTATAACCTCAGAGCAAGGCTTCTGTTAACCTACAGAGTAAAGGGTTCTCCATATAACCTCGGATAAAGGCTTCTGTATACCCACAGAGTAAGGGGATCTCCGTATAACCTCAGATTAAGGCTTCTGTAATAACCACAGAGTAAGGTGTAGTGAATGACAGTGTCAATTCAGGTAGTATCTGATACAAAAGAGGATGTGTAACTACTAGGGAAGTGAGCTGTATTTATACCTTTGGGAAGAGTCATACTGAGTCATCATGAGTCAGTATGACTCTCCAAAGTTTGAATTGTTTGTTCAATTGTTCTGAATTGCACAGTCAATGCACAGTCAAGAACAATTGAAATGAGTCATTCCAAGTCAAGAGTTTATTACTAAACTCTATTGTTCCTGCATGCACAGTCAAATGCACAGTTTGCACAGTCAATGCACAGTTAATGCACAGTTTGCACAGTCAAGCACAGTTGATGCAAAGTCATGCACAGTTGATGCACAGTATGCACAGTTGATGCACAGTCAAGCACAGTTGATGCACAGTATGCACAGTCAAAGCACAGTCATGCACAGTTAATGCACAGTCAGAAACAATTATGGTGAGTCATTCTAAGTCAGATGTTAGAATGAATCACAAAAAGACTTATTGTTCTGGATTGTAGAGTCAATAACACTTTGATCATAGCATGTTCAATGCATTTCGAAAAATTGATATGATCAATGATGTGATCAAAGTGATACAAACAATAAATAAGCACTTTTTCCCAAAAAGGAAATATTTAAGTACATTGAGGCTCCAATATAAATAGATTTCATCACAGGTAGAGGTGCTTCACAAGTCGATGTGCGAGCTCCCCCTGCAAAAACTTGTTAGCAAATCTATAGAGATCAAAGGAATTAAACCACGTTTTGCGTAGAAGTTGAATCGGTTGTCCCAAATCGTAAAATAGAGATGAATGCAGCTTGTATGTGGTAAGATTGAATGGTTTCTCCGCAGCTTCCTTCGCCTTTTTCAAGTTTGAGTTGGTGGTTTCTATTGGTGGGTCGCCATTCGAAGCGGGAGATTGCCCATCCATTGCCAGGACAGAGTTAACTGGAACGGAATGTGTTGATACAGGATTTTCTGGGATGGAATTTGCGGAGATGGAGTTTGCTGGCATGGTTTGGTCGGTGTTTGAGCCTGAAGACGGCCCAAGCCCATTCGTTGGGAGCTTGGAATTAGTAGACGTAGGTTCTCCTGTTGGTGGCGGCGGCAGGGCGGAGGGTCCAGCTATCGCTTCTTGTGTGGTGGATTTCCTCTTCCCCAATGTTTTGGTGGCCTTTTTGGTTGCGGAAGGCAGTAGTGGGGTAGAGGAGCTAACCTTGGAATTTCTCCCTGCTGACCCCCCCCTTGGTGGTTGGCTTTTTCTTAGCCTTTCTTTTGGTGGGTTGATGAGGGACTGCAGCAGATGCAGACGGCTGTTCCGCTGCTGCCGCTGCTGCCTTTTGGGCCCTCTTGGTCCTCTGACGTTGTTCGCGGGGCAGCTCGTAGGTTTTGATGTTTACCGTCTCCCTTGCGAAACGCCCGAATGGTCGTAAGAAGGTCAGTGGTTGCTGTTTGGAACAGGCCTATGGTGGTGGTGGTGTGCATACGAAGCTTAGCATACCCATGCCAAAGCGCCAGCTCAAAGCAGAGCTGATTTACGAGTTTTTGGTGGAGAGGGAAAAGCCCATCGATGACGGGAAGGATGCACTGCACCAAGTTTCAGCTACTTATGTGAAAGAAAGGAACTTCTTTTACTGGCCTGCAACACATCTTCAAAGTTTCGGGCCGCAGCATATTTCATGCCTGAAACGTTGTGACCAAACGACCTGATAACAGATCGGCCAAAGGTCTCGATCTGACGAAATCTTGAAGTAGTGTCAGCCAACGATGATCTCCTGTTAGTATTACTCTTGCCTTGCGTCAAATTCACCGACGTTCTCAAAGGTTTGGAGCATTCGAATCAGATGAGTTATTATTGCTTTTGCGACTCCAAGTTCCACTTCGTGTAGTAGGTCTGGCACCAACATGTCATAGAAATTGAAGGGTGTTTTGTCGGTGTTGAGTTTGGAGAAGGTGTTCTATCAAAACATTTAGAAACATCGCATGCTGAGGTAAAAGACAGACCCGGACTGGGACCCAAGAATTTTGTTTAAGCATTTTGTTGATAGAAGAGCCCGCAACAGCGAAGCCGTTCTCAAAGATGGCCCTCCTGGCATCTTCGATGGTTTTGGCGTCAGGGATGGTCATCAACTCTAAGAACTTGGCGCCTTTTCATGTCATTGACAGTCCCCATTTCTGCAATCTGTTTTTTTACGATGAAACAGCGGGGGCAAGGCCGGCCACCCATGCTCCTGATCGTGGCCAGCAGGACCCTGGGCAGATATTAGAGGATTGCCGATGGATTGGCGCTGCTCACTTTTCCGGATAATCAGCACCGTATATAAAAAAACGCGGGAAAACAAGTCGAACGATGCCATCCAAGCACGTTATCTTGATGCCATTTTCATAAGCGTCCAAGAAATCCTCTGAGAGTAAAAGGTCCCAGATTCGATGGAACAATTCTCGTTTTAGGTGGGTGTAGACCTTGTCTGACATATCACATCCGTAGTGTTGACAGTATTCATCATGAATTGAGTCAGGGAGCTGAAGGGCATAAGTGTTGAATCAATAACAAACTTTGGATAGACGTACACTTGCAAAGTAAGCTTGATGAAAGCCAGCGTTTGAAGATGGCTTTGCTCGAAATTCCTTGGGATGATTTCCAAAGAAGGTGTAGCCCGGCCAGAGCGAAGCCGTTCCAAATTGGGCCAGATGTGTGGCGTCGGACCATATCATCAGTGCCATGATGATGCTTTCCACAGGATCGTCTGGTGATTGCGGAGGGGGAGGTTGAGGAATTGCTTGAAACGCCTCAAGCATTGCTGCAGAGGTATAAATCTCCCCAAATACTTCCTCATGATGCGAGGGAAGGGTGGGCAGGCCATCTGAATTTAGCGGGGTTGCGGGGTCGTAGAGTACAATGTCTGGTGATTCTGTTTCAAAGGTCGGGTCATATCATAGAGAGAACGGAGTGGTGTGTAGTAGCTTGAAAAGTGGACCCTGTAAAACTTCTCGGATTGAGTCGAGGAGAGAACGATAGTGAATGTCCGTGACAGTGAATACTGGGGCGTCGTCTTCTTTCTGAGGGTGTCCGACGCAGGGCAGCTTGAGCTGGACACTGGAGTTAATCCACTCCTCAGTAACTCCGAGGGGCTCAATCCCTTTCTTGTCCAGGTCGTCAAGAAATTTTTTGGTTGAGAATGGGCGCGGAAGGTCGTGCAAGTTGACTCCGTCGGACTCTGCTTCCGCATTGGGTTGAAGAATGTTTTAGATTCACCAATAGACCCCGCATTTTCTTCTTCCACGTGGTACTTGATTATGTGGGCGACGGAGGCGTTTGGAAATGAATAATACCACGGTTCTTTGGGAAGGGGCAAATTGTTCCAGTCAATGTGGCTGGCAGTTGGCTTTGCAGCATGGTAGAGATCGTCAAGAGTAATCGTCTCGTCGGGATCGTGGGTAGGACGGCGTGGATAAACCTTGTAAAGGCCGAACTTGTTGGGCTCAGTTCGGACCCAACATTGCGGCGCTGGTGGTACAATTTCGGAAGGTTAGAGTTCAGGTTCTGAAGCAGGACCAGGTGGCTCAACTGGTGCGTGTTGGCGAATACGAGGTGGGCGGGGGAGGGGCGGCGTCGTTAAGCTTGGCAGGTGGATGTCTCCGGCGGTCAGGTAGGCCACTTTTGCGATATCGTTGGGGCTCGGGGTTGTCGACTTGTATCTAGGAGATATGAGAGATGATGGTGCAATTAACACCAGTCGTACCAGAGTAGCCTCAGGTGCCGGCTCTGGTATGGTAGAAGATGGATCACTTCGTCCTGAGAAACATCGAGTGAGTCCATCGACACATCAACAGCGTCTGAATGCGGATCCAGCATCTCCAACGCATCCTCCAGGGCACGGTTGAGCCCTGTCAGAGCGGAAATATTGGTGTTCGACTGCTCATGAGCCTCCGTGAGCGCGACCTGGGCGTTGTGCAACACCAGCTTTATACCAGCCATATCTTGAAGTAGCAACTGATTGTCGACCTCCAGCCGTTTGACTTCACTTTGGGAGGCCTTGCTGTTTTTGTAGAGAGCATGGCATGATTTTTGTAGCGACTAAGAGTAATTCCGTCAACCTAACCTAGGCAAAAAAGAAGAGCAAACACACCTTAATTTGACCAGTCGCTTTGTCGAGCTGTGCACTCTTCTTCAGATAACTCTCGTGCGCCGTAACCAGTTCGGTCTCCAGCTCCACTTGCCTGGCTTGATTCACCTCTGAATTGCGCTCCAGCGTAGCAACCTCCTCACGCAGACGGTTTGTTTCGTTCGGTCGTGAATTCGAGTTCGTCCTCCATTTGTTCGTAATTCGCAACAAGTGCCTTCTGTGCAGTCTCGAGCTCGTTGTAGTCGGCGGTCAGCAATCTGAGCTTAGCTCGGACAGAGACTGGCATAAATCGTTAGCCATAGTAACAAAGAACAATGGCCACAAACTTTCTGAGTCAGACATGTCCTTCTCAGCAATACTGAGGATGAAGTCAGAGGAAGAACAAGGAAAAAACTCGAAGCATGCACAGCCGGGGAAGAAGAGGAGGTAAGGGAGAGCCAGCGACCGCAAGATTGTCCGATCCAGGGGGGTAAAAAGGCTGTCCGAGGCAGGCAACGACGTTCTGGCGCCGGTCCGATTTGCTGGGGCAGAGGCCGATCCCGCAGGCGCAGGATATGTGGTGTTGCTTAACACTGGCAGAGTTATGCCACGCGTTTTCAGGAAGGTCTGGAAAGTGGCGGGGTCGTCCGAGCTGGTCAGCATGATGTTGCGGCGAGGTGCGGTGAGGCGGGGGATGGCAACTTGAATCACAGGCATATCAGCGGCTTTGCCTTATAAGCGTTCGCTGCTGGCCGTGGCAGGGTCGTTGTAAGGTAGAAGCCCATAAGCAGTCTTTCGGAGTTGTGGAACAACGGCCTGAACAACTCTACTGCCGCCTAGAGCCTGAGCGTCGTCGATGATGCCTGGAGACCAGACAACCGCATTTGGTGAAATGAGTGTGTCACGTTTGACTTGAATTGATTTCAAGTTCCTGTTGCTGTTTTGAGTCTTCGAGGCCAAAGTCGGGCTCTATTCTAAATTCTCCGGCGAATTGTTGAACTCCGTGTTACAGCTTGAAGCACGTCTAGTGGCTCGCAGCGTTGACTCCGAGTCAGACTCAGATGCATTCGGCGGCAAGCGCCGAGCCCTACGAGGGTTTGTTCAAGTTTGGTTGGCCCGGGAGAGGCTTGCTTTAATAGAAGAATTAGAGCCTCTTGAGCACCGTTGTTGCAAAGACGCAGAGAGAATCTTTCTTGAAGAGGAGGGAAGGTGCCTTTGAAGACTTGTGTGCTATTTCCAAGCAGCCAACGACTATCTTTGGCAAGACAAAGATCAACTTATCGCTAGCCTACACCGAACTCTGCAGTCGCAAAGCGCCCTCCGTGTGGAGTTGTCCCGTGCTCATCGCAACCTGCGTCGCGCTTTTCAACAAAAGCTCGTAGGTGTGCTCGCTCTTCGAAGGCTTAGTTTCACGTTTTCCAGGAGGTTAAGGGTCAGCTGTCTTGCTTCATGATGGAAGCTAGGGAGCAAGTAGTTCGGTCAAAGGCTCACACGACGAAGCTCGAGGCGCAGAACGCCAAACTTCTGTTATTGTTTGAAACTGGAGATGGCATAGTAAACGTAGATGCTGTTGTCTTTGTCAATGAAGCGTATGATGACTTGTTACTCGCAAACTCCTGATTTCAACGCATACATGAGGGATGGGCGCATCATTTGCTCACACAATGGTGGTGGTCAAGAAGCCTTTCTTAAGCAATGTAAATGAGTATTACAGTCTGGTACACGATGTGAAGCAAAAAGAATTGGAGAGAATTAAGCGTGAGGCTGACTATCGGAACAGTGGTCACAGTGGTGGGTTGGGCGAGACGCTGTGCCTTCGCGCAAAGCGAGTTTCGTGAGGCCTATGTCGTCCTTCGTATGGTGAATCTCGGACACGACTTGGTTCAGTTGCTGCTCCAGATAATCAAGATACTGCAGTTGTTCCTGAATGCAGCGCAGAGTGAACTGCTCCTGGGAAAGAGAGCGTTGGAGGTGAACACGGAGGAGACGTAGTATTTGTTCTCCCTCAGCGGGATTGCGAGGTGCCTTGATTGGTCGTCTGTGGGTCATGCCCCAGTGCTACGTTGTCGGCGTCAGCATCATCTGCCAAGGACGAAAAGAAAAAACGACACCATGCGTGCACTGTAGTTAGAGGTATGAGCTTCAACCGCTGTGTGCAAGTGGGACGTTACGGTGGTCATTGTGTGTGGTGGTTGGAACAGCCCTGCTTGACTCAGAGTTAGAGATCACATCATTCAAGCGCTGGCACTGCCCACGCGGCGGGGCACGTGAACGCCACTCGTCCTCTTTCTAGCAACCACCATATGCCTAAAATTATCTTTTCCCCCTTCAGCCAGCTGAAGTCCTAAACTCAGCTCGACATATCAACAATCATTGTTAAAGTTGTTGAGTGGGAAGGGTTTGAGAAGCGACAATGACACAAATTCGGCTTTATTTACGAGAATCGCGAAGGAAAATCTTCTCCCGCCGCCAACCCTCAGTCGTCCCCATTGGCTCTTGTATATCTATCGCCGAACACGATTGCTCAATGAACGCCGTCAGCGCAAGCAGCCCTGAGCTCGGCAAACCCCCCGGCGCCATATATCGGCGCTGCTCAATCGTTCACACATTTAGCCTCATTTTCGTTTTCCCCCTCCTCCCTCTCTCGTTTCAAGCCATCAAATCTCGCCACGATTGCTTCGCTGCCTCCATGGATGGGCTTCCTCCTGGCCCAGGGCCTCCAAACCAAAGCGCTGGTCAAGGTTGGTCGTTTGCACAGGCGATAGGAATTGTTATCATGATTAACGTTGCGCGCAGGCTTCGGGCAGCCATCGCCACAAGGACAAGCCTGGTTTCACGGCGATAACAACCTCGGTGGTGGTCTCCCTGGTTCTTCGTCTCCACCCAGCGACAATTGGGTGAGTCTCACCGCCCTACTGCTTTGCCCTGAACCTGACAAGCAATGACAGACGGCTCAAGGAGGATCCCAGTCAGCGCCAGGTGCTGGTGTGGACGACTTGGCAGATTTGGACGACGAGGACCTAGTCGACGACATTGAAGACTCTTTGGGCAACATGGGGCCGGGGCTCTCTTCGGAAGCCCTTGAGCGAATACTGGAGAAAATTGATTACTGGCATCGCCGCTTTGGGCCTTCCCAGGCCAACGTCTCACAAGCATCCGAGCCTCAGCCTCCACCTCATCAAGCCATGATTCCGCCCAGTCAGCACCAACACCATCTGCCAACAGTAGCGCAACAAGTGGGCGCAGTGGCGGTCCCTCAAGAACGCCAGGTCTCCATGAGTCGTTCGACGCAAAGTGCATCTGTTCCAATTGCCCAACATCTTCAGCCTGCGTATCTTCAGGCAAGTTAGCTGTCTAATTGTTGGCCTACTTAACGTTGAAAACAGAGATTCGGACCAAGCCGTCTGATTCGAAATCTCCCTTCTGCTCCATCCAGCCGTTTCAGTGGCTCTCACTCTGCCTACAACAACAACAATACGCACCAACCTGCTCATTTTGACCAACAACAAGCCTACAACACCACTCCTTCCCCGCATGACCACTGGCTGCTTCTCCGCAACAACCCATCGTCCTTGCGGCTGCCCCCAAGCCCTCTTGGGGCGCTTCCTGCCCAAAACAATGACCTTGCGCAAATTCCAGGTCGCTCTCATCATAGCCGACCAGAGTCTTCCTCTTCAATGTCCCCTTCTACTTTCAATCAACAATCTCGGGGCCTTCAATTCACTTTTTCTTCTCCAGTGTCGTCAACTCTAGGTCAGCGCCATGCCTTTTCCAGTCAAGGTTGCTAACGAATAAATAGAATCGCTCCATAGCAGCCCATTGTCTTCCTCTTCAGTGCCCCCTTCAGCTTTCAATCAACAACCTCGGGACCATCAATCTTCTATTTCTTCTGCTACGTCAACTCTCGGTAAGTGCTGTGCTTTTATTTAGTCAAGGTTGCTGACCAACGAAAAGAACCTATCCAAGAGCAGCCTCCTTTGTTCACTCCTCATGTTATGCAAGACTTCGATAACACCCTTCCTTTGTTTCACCCCCCAGACACGTCCGCCTTGGGGAACTCAGATTCCAAGAGGGACAAGCAGCCTCAGCCGAGAAGTGCGAAAGGAAAGGGCAAACAGAAAGCTGTTGAGCCCGGTAAGCTTGAACTTTCAGCTCTGAATATCGCGTTGAATCTTGCGTAGGTTCTTCAGGGAATGGAGTCATGAGTGTCACAATCTTTCCTCCAAAGCTACCCGCGGACCAAGTTGAACGATTCGTCATGCCTGAGGTATTAAAGCCCTGACATCCTTGTCTTTTCCGCACTGATTTTACTCAGCACGTACTAAGAATCATCTACCAAGAATCGTTGGAGCAATTCATCACCTCTCATCTGCCCCCACGCGGCCCAGTTCTTCCGCCTGCTTCGTCTCTTGCCTCTTCTTCTTCGCAATCAGCTCCAGAGCCAGGAACATCAAGTGTTCTTTCTGAACAACAACTTCCCAGCCATTCACACTCCTCCCTCGGCACCTCCTGGTCAAGCACTAGGGGCTCTTTGACCGAATCTAGTTACGAAACCAAGTACAGTGGTGACCTGGCAGACGGCGACAATAACCAACTGAAGTCTGAAAACGAAGCCAACAACGCCTTTACCGTTGAGCCAAACCTCTCGTCTCTTGCTGGCATTGAGCAGCGTTTTCCTGCTGTGGTTCCCGCGCTGCGTGATCTCCAACAGACCACTCTCCGGAATTTGTTCAGCTACGGTATATACCCCGCCCAGGAGGATCGTCATGCGAAGATGCTGGCGGACTATTTGATGCGGCTTTGGCAACTGGAGAAGCGCATCAGCCCGTTGGCTCTGGGTGCGTTTATCCCCCGCTGTCAGAGACGCAGCTGCTCAGATCATTGATTAGCGCCTTGGTTGATTGTCAGAGAGCAAATTTTCTCTGAGGTCTGTGCTTCTTCTTGCCAGGCCTTGCATTGACGTTACGTTGCACAGCTTGCCAGATCTGAAGCAGTTGGGCGGGACTTGGGGAGAAGTCGAGTGGCCTCCGAAGTTGACCGCTACTTACTGACCTTGCCGGACCATGCTGTTGATCCAAACACAGGAGAAGAGTACACTCGTAACTCTCGATTCAGTTACGATGCGTCTACGAACGAGGCCATCAACCCCGCAACGTCCGAAGAATACCAGCCCCATGAACTGCAAGAGTGGTGACAGCAAGAAGCTCAAAGACTGCTTCAGAACGACCTCTTCCATTACAGCGCAGAGTCATTGGTGAGTCAACGCTGTTGAACTAACTGGCCAAATTCACAGATTGGCAGGGTGTTATATCCGTGCCGACTCCGGCATCCGTCTCCGATATCCGTCTCCGGTATTTGGTTTTTACGCAATGAAGATTTACTGAGCGTTTCCAATTACCCCGACTTATGATCTATGCAATCATCTATGCCTTGTTCCTCGTATGCAACTCCTCTTCTACTTTACTTGACTTTGTTCTAATCTTGTTACTTACTTTGTTATACCTTATTCCGTTTCCGTTACTTCTCGTACTATAAATACTTTGATGTATTATCACGTACTTCAGTTTGTAAATTAACGTTGCTGGTCTCTATCTCCCAGCGTCGTCTCGACTCCGCTCTTCCCTTCTTGTCTTGTCTTGGTCAACTGGAAGCCCCGGTCACCCAAACATCCTTGTGTGGTGTTCCGCCCCAAGTGCTCTACGACTTCGATTCCGTTT